TGTGGAGGGTCTGGTTTCTATGTAACAAGCAAGGTAAAATGGGGAGATGCTAGAAACTACATACTTCATATTCAACTTAAGGCTTGATAAAGTTGAGGCTCATGGGTGTTGTGTTAGACCTTGGAAACTCTTCCACTAAACAGAAATTGGATAAAGCCCATAAACTCTTTGGGTTTCAGCAACTCATTTTTAATCCAGCCATATTTGATCATATACCCGGTAACTTGTCAGTCATTAAATTTAAGGCAGCTAGCAGTAATATGAGCTCAGAAAGGAATAAGGCAGGGTTGAGATGCACCTTATAGACTAATTAAATCAGATGCATAAGCTTTCTAATGAAGTGAGCTGGGACTGATGAAAGCTTATGTATCTCTGCTATAAGGTGCATCTCTGCCTTGCCATCTGCTTAACTTCAGAGACTCTCTCTGCAGAAGGGATTCATTCTCTCTCTCTTTGCAAACCAAGATAGGCTATCAACAGAAATTATTAATGAAAATGATCCACCTGTTAAAAAATGAGGTGAATGAGAAGCGACTGCCCACAAGGTAAAAACATATATTTTACATCCTCCTACCCTCTGATACCCAAATATATAAAATAAGAGCTGCAATAGTTCTCAAAAGATGAGCCCAAGCCATACATTTAAGAATTAATCTTGCAACTGAACTTGTCAGATATGAGGACAACCTACTAAGGGTACTACATTAGAAATGTAAATATTCATCCCCTTCATCAAAAGTGAATTTAAAATCTTTTCAGACGCTGATATTTAAGAACCATATTTAAGACATGAAAAATGAAGCACTAGTAAAGAGGATTAACCAATCTCAAATTGTCAGTAATTTCTTTTGTAAAATATATTACCTTAAAAAGGATAATGAGTACATTAAGAGGATGTTACAAGTCTTAGAAGAAAAAATAGCTATGGTAAGATAAGGCTTACGAAGCACTATTACAGTACACCTAGACTACCGCTTAGACCCAGCTTCAGATCTGTCCCTAATCTTGTTTACAATCCAAATTAAATATTCCCTTGCTCTCACCCTGCCACCAGTCCACCCTGTCTCTTGAGCATTTTGGCCTGTGGCCACACTTCCCCATTGGCTGACCACCCTGGGTCACAACTTACCCGAGTCAAGTGAGATGGAAGCACAGAAAGTCCACCTTTCTGTGCTCCACTCCCTATTATTGGCTGTACTTAAAGATAGCCCAGAGGAGCAAACAAGTAGTGGGCCATGGCATGATTCCTTCAAGGGGTCTGCTGCAGTTTCCTGTTTCTTTCTAATATAGCCCTTCTGTACCACTGGTCCACAACTTGTCTCTTCTTCTGTGTGTGTACACTGCAAGTTAATATAGTCAGGGTAGGGAGACATTTGTGGTGTTGGGTAATTGAAAGCAACTGCAAGATCATCCGCATAAAAGATGCATACACATATCCCAAGACACATTTGAAAGTGGCCTCCAGTGTTGAACGTTTCACATGTTTCTGTCAGAATGAGCAAATTCTGAAAAGCAAATGTTAATTGTCACAACTGCAAGGCCAGCTGCACTTCAGACCCTTTCCTGGTATGAGAACATCTCCTCAAGTGTTATATCTTGTATGCTTTTTCTTGGGATGCAGTCACACAGTTGTCACACACTGGCGCATCTACTCATGCCAATTTAAGGCACTTCAGCCCAATTTAAGGCACATTAAAGGCACACATGTGTAGACCCCCAGGAAAGGGTCACAAGTGCAGCTGGCCTTGCAATTGTGACAATTAACACTTGATTTTCAGAATGTGCTCATTTTGACAGACATGTGAAACTTCAAAACTGGAGGCCACTTTAAAATGTGTCTTGGGATATGCCTATGCATCTTTTATGCGGATAATCCAGCAATTGCCTTTAATTACCCAAAACCACAAAAGCCCCCTTTTGCAGGTATCAAATTTAGGCGGGAATAGCTAAAGTGCATTAACGCACATGTAGATGTCTTAAGATACATTAATGTTATGTATGGACTGACTTGGAACTAGCTTTAGTTCCATGCACATGGCATCAATATGTTTTAACACATGCATGTGTAGACAGAAGCCTAAATCACCTTAATGTGCATTAAACTAATGCGCATTAAATTTTGGAGCTCCTAAATGCTCATATAGATATGCCCACTCAGATCAAATCCAACTATTGCCTATTGAGTGACCATAGTTTTCTAGCAAGTCAACTGTTTTGGCACCCATGGTTTTATTTCAGGCTGCTGAGACAAGTGGTAAACAGCAATCAGAGGGTGTTTAGACAAAGATTTGTTAACTTTCAAGAGTAGGAACAAAGCATTTAGAAAACAAATTTTTAAAACATCAGATTTACACCCATCTTACCTTTAGGCTCACCATATTCTAATGCTATCATAGGCAAGCTTAACTTCTTCAGGCACTCTAGAAGGTACCCGTGACAATCTGAACAACTCTCCAGTAACTCTCTCTGCCCTTGAAAGAATCCCTTCATATCCAGGTTTAATCCTTTTGCTACTCTGGTATCATTGGCCCTGCATGCAGAACATGTTTTGTAACTCAGGTACAGCAGCACCTTTATAGCTCCTATTTATTAGTATTGCCTCTTAACTACCTTGAGCAAGTTGTGCTGTTCACCAGGGCACCTCTTGGGGTAACAAGAAACAATGGTCACAAACTGACAGAGAGTAGATTTAGGCTGGATATCAGGAAAAACTTCTTCATGGTAAAGGTAGCCAAAATTTGGAATGGGCTTGCAAGGGAGGTGGTGCTCTCCCCTACCTTCAGGGTCTTTAAGAGAAGGCTGGATAGGCATCTGGCTGGGGTCATCTGTTCCCCTTGTGATCTAGTCCAGAAGTGCCAAACACACAGCCTGCAGGGTCTTGCCCACAGAACCATTCCACCTGGCCTGTCAGGAGTCCGGTGGGAGCACGGCCTGTTGCAGAATTTGGGGTCCCCGGACCCTAAGTAATATGGTCACTAGCAGCAGGTCCCTGAATGTAAACCCATACTGCTCCCTGAATGTATCCCTGCACCACTGCCAGGCTTTGTGCTGCCCCCCTGGCCCTCATCCTATGCTGCTGCCCAAACGTGGGCCCACCGCAGTTACTGCCCCAATGTCTATATCTAGCCTGGGGTTGAGGGTGCGTTTGACAGCCCTTAACTGATCCAATATAGGCATATAATAAACATGCTAATATTTCATACAATATATTCATAAAGTAAATATCTCAATAATCAGGTCAACCTACGACACTGAAATTATTATGAAGCAGCTCTATGTGAAATGTGCTTAGCATCCAAAGATAAATTAATTTAGGTTTAAAGTAGGGTGTGCGTTTAAAGGGGAATTCCTAAGTGTAGATTCCTTATGTTCTTATTCCAGAAAAGCTGTTTCTTTTTTGATTAAGCTTAATCGAATTCAGAATTCAAAACAAAGCATGTTTTATTCTGGAACTAGAAAATACATAAGTAGTTAATCAGTCAGGAATAGCACCCCAGGCAGATAATCCCTAAGTGACCTCTTTTGCTTTAAAATTTAGATCACCATTTTTTTCATCTCTTCCCTCTGGCTTTCAATTACCTGCAAGCACAGCTCTGAAAATGAAGGTGGGGCTAAAAGTATTATTAGTACACTTATAAAAAACAAGAACTCTTGGTTCCAAAATGATACCTTGTATTAGATTAACTGGGAAATCGCAAGAAATTCGTCCTTTTCTGCAAGATTTTGGGATCAAAGTCCCTTTGTCAGGCTCTGGGGAACGTACAGATGGTACAAGATAATAAAAAGTCTCCATAGGTAGGAAATAAACTTCATTTTTGCACAGAGGGAGCTGAAGATGGAAGGCTGTACACTAATATCTTTGCTACCTTCAGTCCCTGGTCAAGGAAAAAGGTGGCCTGTTTAATGAAGAGGACTACAGTTGAGAATAATTGTTTTTTAAGGGAGTTTTGTTAAAATTTAACTTAAGCTTGGAATCTTTTAAGGTGTCTATTTTAGGTACACAAAAAGATATTGTAGCAGTAACCACAGTCAAAAAGGAAGACCACTTAGCATTTCAATCCTTAAATTTGACTTAATGTTCTTACCTTAGCAGAAAGTTTTAATGTTTGCTAAAAAAGAAAAATATGGCGCTAAATTTCACAAAATGTTTTGTGCTAATGTTATGTTACTACTCTTCATGCTAGAACCACATAAGACAAGACAGAGACAGCTCCACCTAACAGTCAGCAGTGGCCATCACAATGAAATTCCAGCTTTAGTTATATTCCTTTATTTTTCTTTCAGATGTTCCTTTCCAGAGTTCCTTGAGTCTTCCTCTATTTTTCCCTGTTGGTTTTTACCTATGCATGATATTTGGTAAGGCATCATTCTTTATTCTGCAAACAATGACCTAGCTGTTAACCTCTTCATTTTTATTTCTTCAGCCCTACGTTGTCCACCTGCTTTCTTTCATAGTTCTTCACTCATTACTTTTTCAAGCCTAAATATTCTCATTATTCTTTTCAGGTAGTTGTGTCTGTGTAGAACCTTACTCCATGCACTGCCTACTCTGTAACCTGTTGACTCTTTGTTGGCAAAATGCTGCTGCTCACATTACCTAACTTGTGTTCTCTCTCATCTTTCAGACAAAAACAGATCAGGAGTACATGGAACAACCACTCTTGTTCTCACAGCCCTCATCCAGACCAACTCTAAGCTCTCATCCTACCTCTGCTTACAGCACTCAAGTACCTGTGCTTAGTTTAGAGCAGCCAGTGGTGAAAATCCTGTTGCTAGCAAATTCAAACTTTCACCCACAGATAACTAATCCCATTATTTATGCCTATTGATATTTTTGAAAACTTAGGCATTTAAGGTATGTATTTTGAATAATAATGATATAGTTTTCAGTATGGCATACAGCTCCTATAGAGTACATGAGAGGTCTTCCACCTCCAAACAGCCAAAGATGCCATTAAATAAAAAAAAAATGCATGTTATATTTACTATTAGTTCTTGACAAAGTAATCTTGAATCTCAAAGACTTTTTCCCAAATTGCTGAAGAATACACTTACATTAGAAGTTCACTAGATGCATGGAATAGAGAAGTAATAATTGCATAGTTATTTTTCTTTGAATAAAATAACCTTCTAAAATAACTTTGTTTAATATTAAATTAAATAAATATTTAATGCATATTGTACAAATTAGGAATAAACCTGAAGCTAAATCCTGAATCAAAACAGACCTAAATTTTGGATTGGTTCAGACCCATACCAGAATGCTGACATAAGCCACTTCTAGTTTTGAGAGAGAACATACCAAGCTTTAGTATTTATCAAATACACATTTTAAATCTTATTTTCTCCTGATTACAAGTGTATGGCCCTCAGGATGCACAATGATTGATTTGTCACAATAAAAAGCTGGCTGTGACCTTTCTAGCTTAAAACACGTTCTTTATTAACACACAAGATGGACTATGATTATTTATACCATGCAGATATTTATTTTACAAAACATCTATTTGACCTCAAATAGGACTGCATTTTGAATATTATGTATAGTTGAAAATGTCAACTTTTCTGAGGTAAGAATTTTAATTGAATTATACTGATCAAGAGTAAGCATGGCAAAAAAACTGTGATGCTTTCAGGAATGAGAATACTTCATACATACTGGTATGCGAGATACCTCCCTAGCCCACTTAAGTTTGATCCTCCCTTTTGATACAAAGCCACAAATATTAAATTGGCATACTATGAAAGCACAGTAGTCTACTTCCCAAAGGGAAAAAAAAGGATTTTTACTGGCATACCACATGCAGGATGGAGTTTTATGAAAATATATATTTTCAGATACACAGGGTTTAATTCTAAAGCTTCCACCGAGAATAATGAAAGTTGAACAGCTAAATCCCCATTGCAGTATTACAAAACCATAATGCTATTTTGGCCAAAACTTCAAAGAAGATGACCTGATGTCCAGTTCAGAAATGTACAAGCAATTACGTATCTATGGGTTCGCATGTAAGTGATTGCATAAACAAATCTTTTGTTTGTTCACAAAAATAAGCATGTGTGTACATATCTAACCTTTTGTATGTAGAAACATACATCTGTACAGAGGTAACTTGCATATCCATGTTTAAATGTGACCATAAGGCTAATTCTTTTGAAAAATTAGAACCTAGTAGTTTTACCATTCCTATTTCTCTTTTTACTTTTTCATCTGCTTTTAGGTGATAAACCATAGTTAACACAAGAAGTACAACTGGAATAAGTTAAAACAATATCATATATATTCAGCAATAACTGAGGTTTGCATTTTGTGTTACCAATTCATTCACATCAGCAAGGACATTATACAGAAAATACATTTTAGGATATTTTATGCAATTAATCATATCACACCACTGAAACACCACAAACAAAATATTTTAAAATCATATTAGGACACAAAACATCTCTCAGTCTACAAATAGACATTTTAAAATCAATATGGTAAGGAAGGTAAACATCTCTCAACCTACTGGTTAAGTTCTTGAATGGCTGTTTGTCAATGCAGCATAAAATGTTTCCTCAGTGCAAGTCTTACTAAGTGTGTGAAAAAAAGACACTGCCCCCCTCAAAAAAACTGTGCTTTCCCCTACAAAAATCCGAGAATAAAGTGATATCTGAGTTTTCTCAAGTAGTTTATTAGTTCTCACTGTGTTTTTGAATACATCAACTGAAGATAGCCAAGTTTTAAAATTGTAAAAATTCTGATAAGATTTTTTTTGGGGAAAAAAAAAAAAAAAATCACTCTAAAATCAAATTTAGATACACTAGAGCTGGAAGACAGAACAGCAGTGAAAACGCATCTGATCTGTGCCAGTGAAAGAAAACGTTGACTTGATATGTTCTCTTTCTTTTTTCTTTTGCTGTAAACTTCCTTGTATGAAACCATGGCATGTTATGCATTCCCAAAAATGCTCTTTTGATAGTTGCAGGATTACTTTAGTTGTTGAAGAATCACAGTGTTAAGTATATCTGCTTCTTGCAGTGTTAGGCTTTCATCTGTTAGCTCTTTATTTGGAAACGTAGTGACAAGAACAAAGTCAGCCGTTATAAATTCAGGGCGAGACTGGATAATAAAATCACGAATATCCTTAATTCTGTTGAAAGAACAGAACAATAGAGTATGAGTGAAAAATCTTTATGATGTTCAAATTCTGCAAGAATCATATGTGCATGTTGGTTTTAAATTCTTCAGAAGACTAGGAGGATAATTTAGGGCTTCTTGGCTTCCTTAATACAAGGATTGAAAAAAAAATATGAGGAGGCCTGTAGCTGGTATACTTATATAGCAGGAATAAAGGTTACAAAAAGAAACACACTAAGCTTATTTTATTTTTCATTTTTCATGTTAATTTCTTCATTCAACAGACTTACTTACAGAGTAGTTCAGTCAGTGGCTGAGTTTGCATGATAAGACAGACATTCAAATACCGAGCCACTGAAGAGCAGAGGTTAGTGCTGAGGTTGTGCAGCCAAGGGGAACCTGTGCACATATCTCAGCATGCTCTGCAGGCTCCCTCAGTCTGCCCAGAGACAAAATGGCAACAATACACAGGGCAGCCACAATATTTCTCAGGGGGGGAGGAAACAGAAGCAAAGTACCCTGGGATGCTGGAGGACTGTGCTCTGGCTACCAACATCACAAACTTAACCAGCTCTTAAGCAGCTGCGGGAGGAAAAGAAAGTCTGTATTATTTAGATCTTCTAAAATAAAGATAGTACTGCAAATTTGTACATTAATGGCATAACTCAAATGGTCTCAGATGACCTCTCAAATTCTCACCTACATGTAGGACAGCAAATACAAACATAACTCTGGGGAGTTGTGCAGACTCCATTGTTTTGGGGCAGATAAAATTCTTACTCTGTTAGATCTCTCAGTAGACTACAAACTGGTTGAAGCCATTGATAGAGGCTGTGTCAGACAATTATTTAAGTAAACACTAAATATCTGCCCATATTTAGGAGAGGATCAATCAGCAGAAAAGCTCTGTATCCAGCCTAAAACCCAACCTGAAGGAATTACAGACTGATAGTTACCAAGTAATATGAATTTAAGTTTTTTAATGTCTGTATTTTTATTATGATTACTTCCGAAAAGGTCCTTTTGCCTTATGATGCCTCTTCCTTTAACATTTATGATTATATAACATCCTTACACATTTTACCTGAGTTACTATCATTTTTGCCTTTTTATATCCTACTTACATTTTTAATTTATTTTCTATTATAGTAAACACAATCTTACAGAAAAAGTGCAATTAATTACACCGATGCTATTAGTTTACCTGTGTGTTTGATTGAACCTTTGTATCAAACGGCTTCCATCTGCTAACCTAATTTGTATTTTAGTTGTTGGCACGGTGTCATTGATCAGAACAGCAGCATTAAGTATAGACTTCATCTCTTCTTCTGGGGAAGAAGGTGTACTGACTATTTCAGGCGTAAGGCTGAGATTGAAAACAGACGTTACTGAAAGAACATGTATTTGTTATATTCACACACACACACACACACACACACACGTGTTGCATA